GACCCATGGGAGCCCCGGGGGGTCCAGGTGGTCCAGGAGGGCCGTGTGGGCCTGGACCTCCATGTCCTCCACCGGGGGGGCCGTGTGGGCCGCCCATCGGAGTGACGGGTCCCTGAAAACACAGAATCACATCCTGGTCAGTAAACAAGCTTAAAAAATAAGCAATATATCCAATGGGGCTTTAAAATTAGCTCTTGGTGTCTCACCCCAATTTTCTCCTCGACTAGCTGCCTGGCGTAGTCGATCTGTTGGGGGGAGCCCCGTACTGTGAACATTTTGATGTTGGGGTCGGCGTTGGGGGGAGGATTTCTCTGCAGCTCGATCCTGGCTCCAGACTGCTGGCTGATGCCCTTTATCGTCTCACCGCCTGAACAGTTCAGAAACCATAATGAATTCACAAGTCCACTGTAATTGAGTCTATGTTATTTAACCAGATATGACTGAGCGTCATCTGGTAGAGGGGCCCCTTACCTTTTCCGATGATGAGGCCGGTCTTCATGGTTGGGACAGTGAAGGTGAACTCCTGCAGGCCACCAGGGGGGCCCATGTTCCAGTTCCCTTGCCCGCGGCCACGCCCTCGGCCCCCTCCGTGTCCTCCTGGGGGCCCGCCAGCCTGAACGCTCCTGAGCAGGTCGGAAATTATTTCTGCTGCGTGCTGCGCCTGGTCGGGGGGGCCCATGATCTGTGCTATCCTCTCAGGGGGGGTGCCGTCATCTGGAGAAATAAAAGTATTAGGGACCATCCAGACAGAATATATGTTTTTGGTGAGTGACATGTCTTGTGTTCAGGTCTCAGATTAAAGGGTTAGGGTATCCATCAGTTCTCAGCGTGGTGCATGATTTTTCATCACGGACCAAACACATTTTTAACAGCGTCCAAAAGACTTTGGCCACAGTTGCTGTACAGTAGCAGTCCAAAACATTTACCTGGTTTAAACTGAATTCTGACGCCTGTGTCGTTCTGTATTTTCTTGATCATCTCTCCATTTCTGCCAATAACAATTCCCACTGCAAACCGAGGAACAGGAACCTAAATGAGGAAAGAAAATAAAACCAGTTCAGAAACAGACTCAACATCTTGTCTCCAAAAGAATTGAGACATCTTGATTGAAACACTCACATCTAAGCTGTCTCCACCATTTCCTCCTCCGCCGTCGCCACCACCATTTCCTCCTCCTCCACCACCATTACCGCCACCATTACCACCACCACCGTGTCCGCCTCCAACTCTTGATCCGTACTCTCCCCTCTGCTCCCTGAAGCCTTGATCTCTGATCAGCTCCATCACCATCTCTTTGGCTTGCTGTAGAGACAAGAAATGACATCTTATTACAGCACTACTTCACTAGTCCCCAACGGAGACCAATAAAAGACTCTTAGCCATAAGACAGTAAGGATATAATGACCGTCTTTTTACATTTAAAACATCCGTTTTAATGTAAATGCAATTTTGATGACATATTTATTTTAAGAATGTTAATAAAATGGGGTGGGGACTCACCTGAACTTTAAAGGGTTCTCCTGAAATGCGGAGTGGCTTATCAGCGCCTGTGTTTTGGGGTCCATCTTGGATCATGACCATCTTCACTCCAGCTCTTTCCTGCAGGTTAAGAGAAGAATAAGAATGTGCCCATGCCAAAAATGTCATCTAATAAACGACTGCTCTCGTTTTCACGCCCACTCTTTCTACTTAAACTCTGGCGAACGCTCACCTGAAGGCCTTTGATGGTTTCTCCTCCCTTCCCAATGACGAGTCCGGCTTTAGTGGCAGGGATCATGATCTCCTGGACCGACGTTCCGGGGCCGTCGTTGTGGTTGAATGCTGGAGCTGGACGCCCCTTCTCAACAATCTCTGTAAGTAGCCTCTTTGCGGCCCTAATGGAAGAAACATTACCATTAAACAGTCTGAAATCCCTAAAAATGGATCCAACTAATATTAGGTGTATAATAAAGTGTTGACTTACTGGATGGATTCTGGTCCTCCGGTCAGTGTCACCGACCTATCAGGCATACCTCCACTGTCTATATCAGAAACATGCAGTCAATTCAAAACATCTCAGTCATTATTAACTATAATTTTCTGAGTATCACTGGAGCCAAAATATCAGCAACAGATCTAAACATACCCGACGCAATCTGTATCTTACATCCAGACTCTTGCTGCAGGCGAGAGATTTGTTCGCCTCCTCTTCCAATAACTATAAGGACAAAAGGTGTTACCCTAACGCACTCATTATCAAAAGACATGCTCAAATTCTGTTTTGGGGCCTACACTTACTGAATCCAACCATGCCATCTGGGACCTTGAATTCCTCTGATAATGACCTGAGAATAACAGAACAGATCAATCAATGTGATCTTTGTGGTAAATATTTAAATAAAAAAATATTCACAATTTAGCTTGAGTATCTACCTTGGGGGACCACCCATTCCTCCCATTCCTGAAAACGCTGCAGAAAGACATTACAATACATTAGGTGGGAACAAATATACAACACAGACCTTTAACTCATGCAACAAATTCATGCTAATTTTGGGGGCAATTACTCAAAGGAAGGGAATCATAACAAATTACAGCCACAAATTCAACTGCAACTACAGCTACGTCACCAGTTCACTCACCGTCGTTTGTAGCCACTTTCTTCGTCTCTGGTTGGTCTGTGACAATATGACATAATAACCAGTATAAGTATCTATCATTACACCCACTATCACATTACAGTTCTTTAATCTAAAAATGGCTAATCAACATTACCTGAAATTGAAATGGTTAAGGCAAACAGCAAAAGCCTGCATAGCCACCATACATACAGAGCTTAATGTACTCTTAATTATTACGCACACCCAGAAAATCCCCACCAATTCAATAGTCCTGCTATCAAACCCTCCACCCTGAATGTGTTAAATGTTGGTTTCGGTCTTTATTTTTCATTTCGTCAGATTTCTTGCAGGATATACGTATAAGACTTACTACTGCAAAGTGGTACCTCAAGTCAGAAACTCAGTAAATAAGAGGATTTATAAGTATATTTTATACTTTTAGGGAAAACAAAGCTGAAACCAACACTGCCTCACCCTCATCAGAAAGTGTATATATGTATAATCACACAAAAAATACCCATTACCCACAAATTACATTAGATCACCAGTGATGGAATATAATCAAATCGATGTACCCACTGTAATTGTACTGCTCCACTAGTTCAATGTTGTTACTTAACACTCGTAATTCTTCATGTCAATATATAAGTTCCCCAAATATATACATTTTCATTGGCCCTGATTTGATACAGTGAAAATGTCATCCAAGTCTCAACACATGCACTAAACATGGTGGATTGGTTCAAATTAAAAAGGGAAATAATATGGTTTGGGATCAAATACTTAATGTTAAGCGTATTAGTTAAATGTAAATTCTAGTCAAATAAAGTTTAGTAGTGGCTAAAAAACACACATGCAAGCATTAGCTATGAAGACTTGCATTGAATCGATTTGAACCACTGACCGATATTTAGGTTAGGCATGGGAAAATACCCACCAGCGTCCTCCAGGGGCCTTTTCTGGCCTCCGTAGCCGAAGTCGTTCGTCTGGGGCGCTGAAGGAACATCACCGCCGATCTTCGCTGCAATCTGAAACAGAATAATAAAACAAAACGGAAATTAAAGATGATTTATTAGCTGTTTTTGTGTTTGACGCGTTTCTTTCTGCGGCCTAGCGTTAAAACAAAAAAAATACGCTCCGGAAGTGTGAGCCAACAAAGGAAAATAAAACTTCCACTTTAAAATACATTACGGTTCTACGCCTATGTATTTTGATGTTATCCCATTACAAGTATATAAGTGTCCGATCATTGCATACATTTGTAATGTATTTGTTTCCATCTGTTTTCGCTTTTCATCGTCATGGTTAGCATAGCTTAGCTTCGCGTGCTGTCGTATCTTACCTCGGGGAGAAAAAGCATCAAAAAACGTGCCTTTTCGCCCCCTCTTTCGATGATTATTTTTTACTTACTTGATCAAATGATGTTCTTACCTGCCGTGCTCTCTGTAGAGCGTCTTTAAAAGCGTCATTCATGCCTGGGCCGGAGTTAGAGGACGGAGGAGCCACGCTGCTGTAGTCAGCCATATCTGATGATCTGCTGCACAGCGACTCAAGATGGACGGTTACATTCACGAGATCTGGACGGGAAACTCGCGGGGAAATGAAGTATCGCGAGAAGTGTTTAAGGCGGGGACAATACATGTTTTTTTTACGGGTAAATCTTCTCTAAAACTTTGCCTGTAGGAAACAAATTAATTAAATTGTGCAAAAGTAAAAAACCCCTCCAATATAACACATTTCTAAACACCTTTATTCCTAAGGGACCACTTGTTCTGTGTTTTTTCTTTTCAGTTTTTTGTCACAGCAACTTGTAAACAAGGGATCGCACAACATGTGAAAATGAAGAAAATAAAGAAGAAGAAGAAGATGAACCTTTATTAATCCCCCTAGGGAAATTCAGTGTTTAACCATAAATATCTCAAAATAGAACAAAAGTACAAAGTAAGATATACACACATATTAACAGAGAACTATATACATCTGTAGACTTTAATACAATTTGCTGTCATATTATTTACTTTGAGACTTTTTAGAAAGTATACATAGGCCTACTTGGATTCAGGGTAGTATAGGCTACTCTTATTACTCTTAGTTTTATCTTATAATGTATAAATTATGTAGGTTTAACTACCAAGCTGTAGGCTTTATAAAGTAGTGAGAATTAGCACTATCTTAAACATATTTATTGCTTTATGAATGCATTGCAGAATGATTTCTTGAAGTGCAATATTTCAAGTTTCAGAAAAGGATCTGAATACATATCCAGAATTTCTTTCTCTGATGTTAATACCTTTGTAGCTGTGTCTTTAACAAGGAATTGTTTGTAATGTTTTGCTCATTGCATGAAAACACATACACTGTTAAATTATAGATGAAAATAAGATATCTGACCACTTTTATGAAATAACATTTTATTTACAGGCCACACGCATTTACACGCCATAGCCTCAAGCAGAAAATTAATACACTTTTTCACATTTTGGATTTCTAGTCAACCATGCATTTAAAAAATGTATGTCATAAGCTCTGTGTCTTTGGTAAACCATTGAGTTAACTCAAGATTCAATAAAAAAAAAAGAGTATTCAAGATTGAATCACATGATGATCCATTGGTTCATCCATTCTTCTGGTTCTTCCAAGATTCAAGTTGCTTTTGTACATTCTGTTAACTTTATTAAGAGTTCACAGTTTTTAGTGCCGTTGTTTTCTGGAGTGATCACGATCTATGCTAAGACTCTGTTTAGGAAACCAGATCTTCAAATGTTCTAGTTAAAGTGTAGTTTATCAAAGCACATGGAATAGCTCTGACGAAGCTGGCTCCCATCCCATTATAATATCCTCTAATTCCTCCTCTTTCATATATCCCTAAAAGTCCTTGTAGTACACCTGAAGCTTGACGAGAATCTTGGCTGAAAGCTGTAAAACAAGACAAATTTGGATGAGTAAAACATCTCAAATGGTTCCAAATAATCGTAAAATGTGTGACAGAAAATGGTTTACCTTGTGCTTGCTGCTGAGTTCGGATCACAGCCAGCGGGTAACTGGTAATTTGTCCAGAAGCAAAGGCCACAAAACTGAAGAAAAACAGTTTGGAGTCGCTGTTGTAGGTGGGATGATTCCTTGCCCAGTTCATGATCGACTGCAACAAGAAGCAAACAGTTAATATATGTTTAAAATATTTCAGATGACCATATATTTTACCGTTGAGAGCTGAATTGTCTCACCTGATGAACTGCACACTCCACGCCTGCATAGGGGATCATGCAGAGGACGCTGGGCTTGAATCCTCTGTAGAAGGAGGACAGCGACTCGTTTCTGTAGATCGATCGAGCGCATGCCACAACACCGTGGTAGGTGCCGGCCTGCTGCAGGTTCAACCTCACCTTCAGCACCTGTGGAGGAGATACGAGGAGAGAGATTACTAAAATAAAACACTTTCACAAAATTACAAATGATAAGTTTCAGTTTATTATAGACATTGTTGGGATTAATGCAAACAACGGAGAGCAGTCTCAGGTCAAAAACAACTTCCATTTATCAGGTCTATTATTTAAAGGTCTACTATGCTTTAAAAAAGGATGTTTTTTGCAAATTTCCATTTTGAGAATAAACAGGCCTGTTTGAAACTGAAAATGTCTGATGTGAAAAGTTTATTTGAAGATCTACGATGGATTATATATAGGCCTACATGAACACTTTTGGTTTGCCTAGAAAAATAAAAGGGGTTATTTTAGAAGTAGAGTAAACAGTAACATTTACCTGTGTTTTACTGAAATTAAACTATGTCACTAATCTTCATGACTTGGAATCAGAGGTCAACAACTAGTGTGGGAAAAGTTCCCAAAGCATCACAGACAATGAATAACATAGACATCTGTTAAGTGACCTCTTTAAAGTGTCTATTCTCTCTAAGGAGAATGAGGCTGGTGCCCCACGAGGACGAAAACGGGTTGTATCCGCATATTTCTCTTGCGTATAGCCCTTTTTGCCACACGAGGCCGTAACTAAACGATAGAAACGGACCCCGCAAACGATAACGGGTCCAAAGGTGGATAGATCTGGGAACGGAGCGCTCTGGGGGGTCCAACGGCTCCCTGTGATCGCCTCTATACGATCATTTTGTGATAATGATGACGCAATAGCCCCGCCTCTCCCCGCCTCTGCTGCTCACCCCCGCAAAAGTAAACTGCACACTGAATTCAGATTATTTATCTTTATCTCGATATGGACATAAACGCAAGTGAAGTCTAATCTGACAGGACGGAGACACGCAGCTCCTCCCGCTGTGATGCAGCGGGAGCAAAACACACACTTCAAGTCAGATCATCACCCTTAGCTATTTTAATTGCCTCTCAAACTACCTAAACTAGTTATAAATATGTTTATTTTTACTGTCGGGTCACTCATTACTGGGTCAGCTGCTGCATGAGACAGACACTGACACTGTCAGAAGAGAGGGAGGAAAAAGAGAGGCTCCGTATATTTTATTATTATATATCATTATATAGAGTCGTTATTCAGAGACACGCCCAAACGTTGACGCTTACATGGTAATTGTATTACCATTATAAATCACAAGGAGGGGTATAAGCAAGCACGATGGCCCATTCTGCTTTCAAGTACCCGAGCTATTGAAACTGCCTCAACAGCAGATGGGTCAGGGTTTAGGAGAAGGGTCTTTTAGCTTGAGTATTGCAGATTCTGTAAATAAAGTTGTTATTTTTTTACATCAAATGTTCATGTCTTTAAAGAAATGACGCCAAAAGATAACACAGTGCAATTTTTCTCTCTCAACTTTTTATGTTAGTCACAGTCATCGAAGAAGTACTCATGCATGAATGATGCATTAATGTACTCATAGCTTTAATGTTGCAGCAGGTAAAGGTGGAGCTTAATTTAAATACCTTACTTATTATTGTGCAACCCAATCTACACAAAAACCCACCCAAATCTCTTAGTTCATATATATTTTATATTTAAACGCTATGTCTGCAACTCTAGTAAAGGTCTCAAACCAAAAAGTAACATAAAATCTACTTGATACTCGAGTCAGCAAGACCTTATGAATGCTCATGTTCATCCTGCCGATAATGTCTAAAGCACCCAAGTGCTAAATATTATTCACAGTATTTGATACAACTTTTGAAAGAACATCCATAACATACATCTGTTTGCAACTTATATCAATATTCCAATTACTTGTATATAGACTATTCTGCACTATTTCTATTATATTCTATTTCATTTTATTTACTTGCACTATTATCTGTTTTATTGTTGTTGCACTGTTGGAGGAGCCTGTGACCTAAGATTTTCATTATCATAACTACACTGTAGCTATGCACAAATGACAATAAAAGCCTTGAATCCTTGAAAAAAACAGAAACATATTCTCATTTGTTTGCAATAACTAAACCAAAGCATCATGATGTACTCAACTAGGACATTGATGATTTGTGTTAACCTGTAATGGGACACTGTTATTAAAATGTGAGGACAGGACGGAGATGTCAAAGCACTCTGCGACCTGCCTCAGATCTGTAATACCTCTAAAGGGTAGAAGGCAGCGTGGGCGACGGCCCCGGACACACAGCCCAACCCGAAGCGCTGCTGCACCGTCAGAGTCTGCTGCGTGCTGCTCTGCGTGTACGCCTTCATCTGCACAAAGTAGAGAAACTCTGAGTGAACTGCTGAATTATAAATAGGAAGCTACTGCATGAATAATTCACTATAGAGAGTTTTCCTGCGACTGCCTCACCTGGGCGTAGATAAGACACTGGAGCGTAGACTGTGGTGTTCCTTTCAGCACGTTGACGGCGTTGCCTTGCCACATCGACCGCAGACCACCAGCCCTCATCTCCGAAAAGCCCTGAGAGAAGGCTTTGGATCCATGAACCTGCAGAACACAGAAAATATCAGAAATATTAACTGCTTATAGAGACAGTGACAAACATGTGCAGTAACCTGAAAAATAAACTTTGTTGAGGAAAAGAGGTACAGGTGCTATTTGAGGTCGCTGAACCAAGCTAAACAAGCACAGATAATCTAAACTGCAAAGACCTTTGGGCCCAGATGGATGTGTTATATAGTCTAGATTTTATGGGATGCTTTAGAAGATAACACATATTCACGTTTATAAGTGTATCAGATCAGATAAACTAAGAAAAGGGATGTCAGTATCTCACTCTGTAAGGACTTGGTTGGCAATCGAAGGGTTGCTGGTTAAAGTCACAATCAAAACAAAATACAGATTAGCTGGAGGGGTGTCCTTTAGCTTCTTTCACCTAAACCGCAGAGTGCTCCATGGTGCCGAACCATTGGCAGGCTCTAACCCACTCCTTGAATGCAGTTATATTTACCTTTATGTTTATGCATGTGTGTATTTCAGGCATTTGCCCAAAAATTGGAATTTCCCCCTGAGGATAAATAAAGGATGTCTTGTCTTAAGTCCATACATGCTTTTCCCTAACACCTGACCGTGGATCTGACCTGCAGTTGTGTCTTCAGGCGGTCGATGGGGGCCGTCACAGTTCGGGACACAGCATCAGCCAGACCTGCTGCCAGAACAAACGTCCTCCACGCCCCAAAGCCCGACGCCTCCTCGGGGAACTCGATGGGCATGGCACGACTCTCGCCCACATCGAAAACCTGCAGAATGAGCATTCATCATCTTCTATTCTCTGGTATTACTAACGCTGAAGTGGATGTGTCACAGTTTCTGCACATCATCATCAAAAGTAACACAGTTGACCGTGAAGCTGCCAAAAAAGTTCTTACCATACTGTGTTTCCATGACGACACCAGCTCCCCTATGTTGTCCACAGGGTTGAGGATGACGTGGTGCAGAAACTCAGCCCAGTCCACCGTCATGGAGCTGTCCTTATCCATCCTGGAGGATTAATAAACACGTGTTGGTTTGTTTGGATCACAGACTGTAATGAGCAGCTGTGTGATTTCATCATCAAACATCATCCTAGTATCAAGTAACCAAAAGATGCACTGATAAAGGTTTTAAAAGTAGCTGTTTATGTCCTTATTGATCATGAAGTAACTCAATTGTGATAAAGCACTAATGAGCTTTGGATAAAAGCGTCAGCTAAATGCAATGTAATATCTCACAGTTCAGTGAATCCAAATTGAAGGACTGTTTAGGGCCACAAATAAATCGTGTATTCTTTTATTACTACAGGTTGGTCGATATTATGATTTATAGCTAAAAGTAAGAAAGCTATATCAAAATATGGTTACAGCCTGAACTGCCTATATTACAAGAATGTATTTTTCATTGTAAAGGATGTCTGTGTCTTGGAGAAATATACCTTTTCTTTAAAGCTGCAAGTAATCAGATTTCAGTCATATTGGGCTAAATGGATATCATTATTTTATTTGACCTAGCTATTTTTTTTACGTGTAAACGACAAACATATTTTCCCCATTTTCCTCTAAAGGAAATAAATAAATGTCATACCTTTTCCTCTTTCATCGTGATTGCTTGTTGATTTTAATATTCTAGTTTGATTTGACATATATATCGTTTAACGTTTCACTTTCTTCTATAGTTTTAGCTTATACATTTACTAAAACATATACAAGAGTATTATTGAGAAAGGTCTATGGTGTAAAAAAAAGACTCATTTTGGAAACACTGTCAATAAACTGCTGACATTTATCAAGTAAGTGCCAATCTGATAATATGATAACACCTGTTTAAAGTTGTGTGTGTTTGGTCTGATCTCAGTTGAACACAGTACTACAACTGATAAAGTCCTTTAAATACAACAAAATAATCCATGATGTAGTTGGATAAATATCTTACATTTGAATAATTTTTTTTGCATTCGGCTTTGATATGACCACTCCTAACTCCTTAAACAAACATATGATGTCCTCCTGGTCAATCACCCCTGATCAGAGAAGAAATGCACATGATTACAAACAGATACGGCTCTTTGCGTTATCATATTTCAGGGAAGTGATACTGTAAACTGTATGAGTGCAACGGTCAGTCAACAGGGCTGTACAGGGTGCTGTGTACCATAAACAAGGCATGCAGGTCTACTTTTCCTTTCTGACCTTGAAAATACAGTTTATTGTCATACAAATTCACATTAATAGCTGTTTATAAAGAAGATGAAAAAATGTGAAGACTCATCTTCTATAAAACACATTGTTATGCTATAATTATTGTAATAATAATATTCATATATTATATTATAAGAAGAGTAATGCCTAAAAAAAAGATTAAAGACTCTAAACATGGGGTTACAACCGTTACATGTATGTTTTTAACAATACTTTTGCACTTTGTTGCATTCTCTTTTGTTTCCTTCATAAACAAAACATTATCAGACAACAGTCCCACTCACCACACTTGTTCTTGTCAAGGTCATGAAAGTGGATTTTCCATTTCCTCTCTCTGTCCATCATGTAACCGAGGAACTCTTTATAATCCAACAGGCCATCTTTGTTTTTGTCATAAGATTCAATGATATTCTAGGAGAAAGTCAGCAGGTGTGTTGATTAGTGCATGAATGAATGAATGACACAAGGGTACAGTCTTGTGCATTGCTGTTTAGATAAATATGTATGTATTTGCAACATTACCTGGACCTTTCCATCAGCTGAGAGGATCCCATGCTTCCTCATTTCGTCTTGGAGCTCCGACACTGAAACGAATCCATCATCGTTTTGATCCAGTTTAGAAAATAAACCACGAAACTGATCCATGGTGCATTTAGAAACAAGTCAACCCCAGTTAAAAAAAATATGTTTCAAAATATGCACTCCTCTTCATCAAGGGAGAAATGCTTCCATTGATAAATCATCAGATATTATTGAGCTGCAGCTCTGCTCGGACGCTGACTCATTGGCAGCAGTGCTCAGTGCCAATGCAGCAGAAATGCTTACTTTATCTCAAAGAGAATGACTAATTCCCTCTGTAGTGCAGCAGGTGGCGCTGCTGCTGCGAGAGAGCCCACCACCATCCATCATCACTGTGCCCTCTCCTCTACACCCTGAACCTGCTGAGTGTTCACTAACAACACACAGGGGATTGTAGCAATACAAGTAAATATATGAACATTTAGGCCTACTTGATGTTGCTTGTGGTGGCAAAAAGGAAATAACTTTATCTTGGCTTAAACCACTGCAACCAATCATAGACAAACGTGTTGTGTTGAGGCAAGTGGATACAATGGGAATGATCTGGAAGCTGAGGTAGGAATCAGTGAAACGCACACACACAGACACACGCACACACACACATTTACAAAACAAAAGTACAGTAAAGTACAATAAAATAGAATAATATCAATATTCTGCCTCTGTTGGTCAGTGGTTTATGTGAAGAAAATGATCATTTTAGAAAATAAAATGTGCGTTAAGATATATATAAAAATAATATATTTACATAACAATAAAAAAAAGTAATAATAATACTTCTACACACATTAGTAGGCCTACATTAAATTAAACAAAAAAAAAACACTTAAGTTTGTCAAAGGTGAGGCGTAATTATCATGTCTATCATATGTGAATACGCATTGCATATTTCACCTGTGTTAATCTCATATTATATCACACACACACACACAGTCACCGGAAGCAGAATTATTTCATGTTTCTGAGTTTGACGTTGGCTCTGTGGATGGATGCAGGGAGGAGGAGGGAGCCGAGGCTATTTAAAGAGGGTCATCCAGTCACGGATAAATAGCAGAAGGTCCTCCGCGCTGACTAACCGCCTCTAAATGTTTTTCATCCGGCTCTGTGTGTCTGTCTGCGGCTTCATGTGTCCAGACTGAGCCTCTGCTGACAGCCATCCGACGACCAGCACTGCATACATCCCCTGCAAGGGTCTTTCGTGGTCGTTTTTATAAAGGGATACTTGGGGGTAAAAATGGGTAAAGATTACTATAAAACGCTGGGCATCTCCAAAGGAGCCACAGAGGAGGATATTAAGAAAGCTTACAGAAAACAGGCGTTGAAATGGCATCCAGACAAAAACAAGTCTGCATCAGCCGAGGAGAAATTTAAGGAAATCGCTGAAGCATATGAAGTGCTGAGTGATCCGAAGAAAAGAGAAGTTTATGACCAGTATGGAGAGGAAGGTAAGGTGTTTTTATTATTTTAATTTAATTATATTTTGTGTCACACCTTCAATATACCGGTAAAATCCCGTTACCAAGCCGGATTGACTGGATGTAAAGCACAGCTGGCTTTAATTCAAGTCTCTCTGTAACCAGCAGGGTTAAAAACAGCTGTTCAGCACATCATAGGCCTAGATCTGTGCATCTATTATAAGAATTATCAAATGCACCATATCTGCAGTTATAATAAGCCCCTGCCACCATTTCCAGCTTAGACTTTCTTACAAATGTGTTTAATATACATTGTTTTATTTGACAGGGATAGTGTATATATCCTAAGCATATAGCTATAAACTAATTTACATCTGAATTGAATTGATCATATCAAAGCATTTGTGCACACAGTAGGCTATGTCGTAGCCTACCTCGGTACCTGCCATGTCGTATCTGAATCTGAACAGATGGTAATGTGGGGAGCATGATGTGAGGAAGGAGAACATATCACAGATAATCTCCTATAAAGCTCCTATACAGGCCTATAAAAAACTAAATTAGGCATATTAAGCTTATTTACTATTTCATTTTGCATATGTGCAAAACATCTTAAGGAAATGTGTACACTATGTCTCGTTTAAAGGCTCACTCAATCCATGCAACAAACAGAGTATCTGTGTTTTTTATAAATTGGTGATAACATGGAAGTTGTTATCAGAAATGCCCATGAGTAGACATGAGTCTATATATAAAATCCACTAAAATGGAAGATGTTGAGTGTATGGTCTCAGCATGTGTCCAGCATAGACTGTCCATTAAAAGACACAACATTTGACCTACATTTACAAGTGTTGGAGACTCATTAGGATCATTCTTATGTAAGGGAACATGACACTTAGGCTTTTTACGGTACTATATGCTGGCTAAGACAAATTAATGATAATAACACATACCATTTTTTCCCCTTCTAATTACATAATCAAAAATGTATCTTTAATGAGGCAGAATACAGCATTTTTGGCCACTTTTCCCTGAAACTAACCTAATTGATAAATCCATTATTTAAATAGTTTGTTACAAGAGGACTTAACAATTCAATTCTACTGTCTTGGGGACTGGATTGTCAATGTATGCATCATTTGTGGAATAAAGCTCACACTGTTGAATGTTGATGACTGATGGATAATTCTATCTCCCATCAGGTCTCAAGGGAGGAAACGGGCCCACAGATGGACCGGGCAACACCTTCACCTACACCTTCCATGGAGACCCTCACGCCACCTTCGCCACTTTCTTTGGTGGCTCGAACCCCTTCGATATGTTCTTTGGGCGTAAAGCAAACGGTCGAGACGACGACGACATGGAGGTGGACGGAAACGACCCCTTTGGTTCCTTCAGTAACTTCAACATGAACGGCTTCCCTCGGGACCCTCACACTGGACCTGGAGGGCCACGCAGGAAACAGGACCCTGCCATCATCCATGAACTGAGGGTCACCCTTGAGGAGGTTTTCCACGGCTGCACCAAGAGGATGAAAATCTCTCGCAAGAGGCTAAATCCAGACGGCAGGACCATGCGCAACGAGGATAAGATTCTCACTATCGAGATCAAGCGAGGCTGGAAAGAGGGAACCAAGATCACGTTCCCGCGGGAGGGGGACGAGTCATCCAATACCATTCCTGCGGACATTGTTTTCGTCATCAAGGACAAGCCACACCCTCACTTTAGGCGGGAGGGCTCAAACATTGTGTATCCTGTGCGCGTCAGCCTAAGACAGGTGAGTTATTTTCTGTTCTGGCACCCACTCATGACTATGTGTTGTATTATTAGAGTCTGATGGATTAGTCACACACAGGGGTGTTTCAGATCAAGCTCATATTTATTTTAGAGTGCTGCTTTAATGCTCTGATGCTCAAAAACAGGTGGATTCCCTTAAAAGTGGTCTTCCCTGGAAAGTACATGTGTCCTGAATGAGTATAGTACCAAACTAAACACACACGTTGGCTTATGTAATCTTCAACATTGAGAAATAGGAGCCGTTTCACAGGGAGGGCAGAGAGGCGGCGGCCGCCCACATGCAGACATTTCAAGATGTACTTTTATGGTTCCTCCTACTCTCCTCAACACTTTGAGATCTCAGTGCTTCAGCTCTGAATATGTGAGCGATACATGCGAACAGCAGCCGATCAGCTCTGTGCGACGTGAATCATCACTTGTTTTATCAGTCACGTTAAAGGTTTCCGTTCACATAGCTTCATTTCTTTGCTTTTCTTTTCTGCTAAAACATATTTTACAACTATACTCAAATAGAATATATCAACATGACTTTAATCTGACCTCCAAGAACACTTTCCACAGCATGTCATAGTCTTCCTCAGAAATACAAGAGAAAGCACAATGATTATATCCAACTCCAAATACGATCTTTGAATAGAGAGATTACGGACAGCTGTTATCATGTGATGACAACTGAGCCATCTCCTCGACAGCTGAGCAAACTGCATCCAATAATATAGACTGTTGATGTGTTTATGGATCTTAAATGGACCTTATGTAAAGGTTATTTTGAAACAATAGTTGTATAATTTGCTCAGTGTTCAATTAACTAGGTCTAGGTGTTCAATTATCTTGTTTTTTGTGTGGGTCTGTGAATAAATATACAACAGTCATTTATAATTGTGGTGAACTCTTATAATTAATCATGTCTGCCGGCAGTGGCTCAGTCAGTAGGGGATTGGACTGTGAGCCGTAGGGTCGCCGGTTCAAGTCCCCGACCAGACCTAAAAATGGAGTGTGGACTGCTACTTGGAGAGGTCCCAGTTCACCTCCTGCCCTGCCGTGGTGCCCTTGAGCAAGGCACCGGACAACCCCCTTCCCCCCTCACTCCCATTGCTCCCCGGGCGCTGTACAATAGCTGCCCAGTGGCTCCTAGTAGACTCCTGGTACTAGGATGGGTTCAAAGCAGAGAACACATTTCACTGTGTGTGCTGTGTGACCATTAAAGAGGGTTTCATCCCTCCCAATATTATTATTATTATATTATATTATTATGTCAAATATATTCATACGTTTCAATATAAACTGAGCGCCATGTAGCAACATCTTTAAGGGTATTTAAAGCTGAAACATAGTAGATATTCAGAAGGTTTTAGTGTGTTGGTTGAGGAAACCATTTAGCCAAAACCCAAAATGTAAAATTTTACAAAATCCACACATTTGCTTATCAGCAGATTGTGTCAATGTAAAATTGGACGATCAGCAACAAAACTAATGCAATATAAAAAAGTTAGGAAGAATTAAATATGATCCTTTCTCCACTTTTAGCTGAATTAGTGACATGAACATTTTCTATTGTTAAAAAACAACCATTTTCTATTGTCAAATTATTCGCAATGATTGTTTAAATCTAAAAATAGATAATAGATCATTTTGGTTAATATAATATAAAGAAATAGATCATCTGCTTAACTTATCAGTTTATTTATTTTTTGTGATTTTTTGTACATCTGCTATATTGTGTTATCAGAACATATTCTTACTAATATTCATTAAAACAATATATCAGATCACTAGTTTACTTCAGATTCTTGTGTTATTTTTCCTACATCATGTCTGGGTTGCTGTTTCTCACACTAACTTCCATGTTCCTGTGTTTTTCAGTCATTGTGTGGATGCTCTGTTACCGTGTCGACGATAGACGGGAACTCGTGCAACATGAAGATCACGGACGTCATCAAGCCTGGCATGAGAAGGACTGTCGCCGGGCAGGGTCTCCCCGTACCCAAAAACCCAGAGCAGAGAGGAGACCTGGTGGTGGAGCTGGACGTTAACTTCCCCGACACGCTGCCCGGAAACGCCAAGGACGTCCTGAAGCGACATTTACCTACTTAGGAAGAACAACAAGGACTAGACGAGAGAAAAATAACACATGACAGCACTCTCCCCCTTTACACACACACACTGAGAGTTCACAGATAGACCCCTACAATGATTGTGCAATTTCTACTTAAATCTTTCTATTTTTAGCATATTGGCAGATATAATGTGTTTGAAAAATTGGCCGAAAAGCAACAAAACTAATTGTAACATAGAAAAGCTTAATTCAAGGCATTCACCTCTATCTAGTTTTCCCTCCTGAATACTGAACATTTTATTAAGGTCTAATAACCGACAACTTTGAGTCGTAGCACCCTATTGTAATCAAAATTATTATTGTAATTATATATATATTTATATATATATTTATATAATGAATTTTTTTTTTTTTTTCCCTAATAAGTCTACATTTTGAGGGCCAAAACATGTACATTTTATACAAATAAATTAAGTGTCCTGCTCAATACATTTCTTGGTCACATTTCTTAAAACTTAAAACTGTTAAATGTAATGTAAAAATATCATATTAGCCTAAATTATCTGACATTTTAAAAATGAATTAGGATGTGAGGATTAAAGTTCACAGGTGCGAGATTAATAGGCAAAAACGTGTTAATGTTTTTACAGTAAAGGACGTCCTAAAACGACATTTACCTTCTTTGACAAGAACAAAGACTAAATGAGGGGAGAAAAGCAGTCGCCCACATTAACAAACCCACACACACACACACACACACAAACACACACACTGAGATTTCACAGATGGAACCCCTGCGACGAATGTGCAATTTCTATTTTTGAGCTATGCGGTGTTTGTATGAATACCATGCATGCTGCCGAGTTGATATCAGTGCAAGACATGAAAGATTGTCTGGATTGTTGATATCTGAAAGAAACACACTTTAAGTATGTGGCAACAATCACTTTATCGTTTTGTTTGTTGGAAATATTTTGTAGTGAGTCTACAGTTGCCAGAAAAATGAATATAACTGGAGTGCCAAACTTTTTTCTGACAGGCTTCATTACTGACATTTTTACCTGTAATTCAGTGTTTATTGTGTCGTGTAGTAGAGCTGCAATGATATATTGATTGACAGAAAAAATATTAGCCAACTATTTTTGATAATCATACATTGTCTTGCAAAAATGGTTTTAAAAAAATGCTCTTTTCAGTCTCTCCAATATGGAGATGTTCTGCTTGTCTCTGTTTTATATTTGACTAAACTATATATATTTATGTTTTGGACTGACGAAACAAGATATTTATAGACAACACCTTTGAGAAACTCGGATGCACATGTTTAAGACCTAACGATTAATTGTTTTTAAATAAAAAATGATAGTAATGGTCACTTGCAGCCCAGCATCATGTAGAGATAACACCCTCAATTTGGAGGCTGTCTTAAAATCTGTGTGCAGGTTACTCAAATGAAAACATGGTTGAATGAAATGTCTTGTGTGCATCTTAGTTATATCTGAAGAAATTGTACTTGAATTTTTAAATAAATATTTCCACATGAAATCAAGTTCAGCTGTTTTTAATTATAAGCATGTGATGAATCCTCCTCCCTGAAATATGCCTATATTTATTTTCAATTAGCAGATATAAATAGTTCTCTTCTGACTTACTTTTAGCAGTGAAATGGGAATTGTTGACGTAAAGCTTATATACAGTAACATTTTCTATGTGCAATTAAAAATATTTTTGACTGGATGTAATGCTTATACTAATGGCGAAACTATGAATGTGTAAATATAGCTTTGTGGTCTCAGCTGCTGGAGATCAGTTGCCAACACAGAGGCCTCTTCTGTATGTTTTCCCACCAGGGGACGCCACATCACTCACCACGGCTCAGGGGCCACAGAGGAGGGACCCTCTTTATAAGAGAGGGTTATTACATTATGCTCATTATAGTTCAATCTGGCTTAAATCAACTGTTATTTTTTTTGGATTAATTTATCTCTATGCAAGGTCCTTTTTTAATAATACTAAATAGTTTAAAGCCAAATAACTTTCATTTTTTCAGGATTTTTTTGTTGCGTTTCTAACTCCAAAGTCCAAAGTATTCTGATTATTTACTTTAGTAGAACTTCCAATAATACAACGACAAAACGACATACAAGATTTGGGATTAATATTAATGCTGCTTTATATGTTGCATTTTGCTTTTGTAGACAAAGGTTGTGCTCATATCAACTTCAAAAACACCTAAATATTCAATGTATCGCAAACATTTATAAACCCTAAAATCTGAAATCTGAAAGGTAACTAAAGCTGTAAAAATTATTATTGTACATTTTAAGAGTTACGGTAACAATACATCCCTTTTGAAATGAAGTGGAGAAGAATAATGTAGCATAAGGGAAATACTCAAATAAAGAAAAAGTATCTCACAACTGTACTTAGGTACATTACTAGAGTAGAAAGTAAAATGTTCTATCTTTATAAAACAAATGTTAGATTATTTTCTAAAAGAAGACAGAAGACAAAGCCTCTGGATACAAATTGTTCTTTTTGCTAGAACAGATTTGTCACACATCATGAGTCACTATCATCCAGGGAGGGGTGGAGGGTAAACACTGCTCCTGCTATGTGTGTGAGACTGATGCTGATGTTAAACTGTGGTATCAAAAAGAGGAAAAAGATAGTGTTTGTTAAAGGGGAAGACATTAAGACAATACAACAAAACAAATAAACCAGTTTTGTTTGTTTCAGTGGAGGAAATAATGCTCAGATATTTGACCTATAGTAAAAGTAGAAATACTACATTGTTAAAATACTCTGTTACAAGTAAAGTCATACATGTAAAGTTTCTCAAGTAAACGCTTAAGCACCTAAAAGTAAAAAAAAGTGTTCAATCATTGTGTCTGATACTATCAGTTACTTTGCAGATACAGATGCATCACTAATTATAATCCAGCGATTTTATTAGTTTAATCTGACATTTGCATTAACATTCCTTTTAGATTATGAATGCATTTCGAATGAGAATAATGTATTTTACCAAGTTTTCACCCAAAAGGAAAATTGCTTTGGTATATAATGTAACATTCATAAAAAATAAATAAAAGCACATGTTGAAAAAAATAATGTTAAATAAAAATAAAATAATGGTACATTTTTTTTGAATTTCTACAAGATAAACATATAAAGGAAAGCATACAATAAGAAAAAATAAGTACTACTTATACATGTAATTTGTCAGTGCACAGTCTGCAAATGTAGGATAACTCTGATATTGCTGCTCTTACCTACAGGTAAAATATCTGAAATATTTTTCCACCATAGACTTACCTGCAGCAGCACGTAATTAAATAAATACATTAATAATTGTCTAATTTCGCTGTCCCCTCCTGTGATGGAGCACAGGTGCACTGGGCTGATCCCGGGTCGGTCCCACTGCGCCTGCGCCCCGCTGATAGGCAAACAGAGCAGCTATTGTTAGCTGCGGACTGAAGTCTCCAGCAGGTTGTGTCAGAGTTTATCCCACACTCACCACCTTCCTACCTGTTGAATATTCACTACATCTTTTTTTGTTTTACAAGAGCCTCTGTCGAAGAACAAAGCTAATCTGTGTGGGGCAGGTGAGGAGAGGGAAAAGTGGAAGGAAGGAAGACAGGAAATCTCGGAGGAAAGAAGGAAGTAAACACGACCGTTGGAGGACTCAACAGGTTCAAATGTTATAACAACGGACTTTTTATAAACTTCCAACGTCGAAAAACGTACTAAAACAACTAAAAAGATGCCGTTGGGACCATGGAGGAAGAAAAACAAGTCGACGAAGGAGCATTTGGTGGAAAACGAAGAGGTCGGCAGCGGACACGCAGGTGCTGGGAGCTTGGCTAATAAATCCTCGGTGAACGGAGCAGGTCTACCGCCTCCACCGGCCAACCTGAGGCCCAAACTGGTGTTCCACACGCAGCTCGCGCACGGCAGCCCCACCGGCAGGATCGAGGGCTTCTCCAACGTCAAGGAACTGTACGGGAAGATAGCAGAAGCCTTTAATATCAGCCCACCTGAGGTAAGAAGAGCTCACCTGGTGTTATAAAGAGTCATGGAAGTGATTTCGTGGTGCGTTCAAGTGCTTAATTTAAAATATTCGCAACAAGGCTACTTTAAATTAGTAATTGCCCACATATAATATCACTGGATTGGATTAGTATGATTTTTAAACACTTCAGCACTTGCAGTTAGTAAAAGTGGAGCTACTTTTAGTCACTTTGCATAGCCTACTTCTAGGTATGTTTTGTATACAGCATATTTTATTAGTTTAAAACATATTGTATTGGTAAACTTAATATGTAAAGTAACTGAAGTTATTACATAATTTAAGTTGAGTACAAAGGGCATGCTTACCCTCTTAAATGTATAGAGTATAATATATAGTAACATAATTATGAAACAAAACAAATCTAAGAAAAAACAATTTTAAATTAAATTCCTCCACTACTTGTTTCTAGACATTAACTCAGCAATTTTACTCCACTACATTTCAAAGCCACATGTTTAATAAGTGTGGCAATACGTTTCCTTTCAGATTAAGGTAATATATATTTGATAATTTAATAAAACACAATCCATAGTTGTTAAATAGTGAACTCAAACTCTCCCAACTCACTACTCCACTGGCCCCTTGTCTGTTTCAGGTGACAGAGAGTTATTAAAAATTCCATTAGATATATATATATATATTCCCTGAAACCTTTAAGGTTACTGTTTGTGGCCTAAGGAGATCAAAATATGAACTGTTAAACAAACACTAAGATTACAAAACAGTGAACTGAAATGATGCAACTTCATGTAGTTAAAATTTGATTCTTCTTTCTTACCCTTTTAATCACAACCCCCAGATGTATCTTGTGACTGTTAGAGACCCCTGAATTGTAAAACACCTGACCAAACCTAACTCCCCCTCAACCAAGTACATTAGTGAAAAGCTGTTTACTCATTTTTGCATCAGTGACAGGAGCCATTTGTCAGCCAAATTACTACTTTTACTCTTGATCCTTAGGTGGATTTCGCTGTGAATACTTAAACACCTACAGTACATTTCTAACGGTGTAGTTTTACACTGTGGTATTCCTGCATTTACTTAAAGGTGGAGTAGGTAATTCACTTCAGATACACTTTTTGTTATATTCCATGGAATGCGCTTAACATCCCGATAGCAATGAATATATTAAATGCTTTGACAATAAATACATAAAAAAAATGTCATCTGTGGAAGCCGTAGTACTGTAAAAAGCACGACCAATCATCTGAGCCGGCCCGGCTAAAGTAACTGGATGGCCTACCTGCCTGTCAGCCTTCCATCTGTGCACAAACTTATCTCGTGCCCTCACGAGATAAGGGCACGAGATCCCTTATCTCACGTTTGTGTGTGTT